TTATCCAATCAAACATAAACACGTAAACCAGTAATAGACACCAAACAAGGCAACACAACATCGGGTTCACAATAATTCAAACTATAATAAATAAAACCGTGATTTATGGATTCAAAACCATAAAATAAATAGATCAAATACCATAATGCATTTAAAACTGTAAAATAAATCAAGCAAGAACAGACCGACAAATACATCAGGTTCGGGCCCCATTAGCAATCTTCATTAATTATACATATCTATTAATTCATAAAATACCGTTTTATCATTTATTAAGCTTTAATGCCGTGATAGAAAATAGGGTGAGAGATCCTTACTTATTTTGGAGTCTGAAATTAGGTTCTCACTACCCCTACGGGCAGTCCCTAGATTCTCTAAATTTTTTTTCCAGAAACTGAAACACACTTCTGGTACCTGCACATGTCCCTAAAAAATTTCAAATCAGACCCAGGGCCCTTTCGGCCAATTTCGGGATTCTGGCACGGCGGCGGCGATCCGCCTCGGGTTGGCCGTTTTCGGTCGAATTCGCCCAAACTTGCATTGTTTCCTGTGATAAAACACCCCTAGGGCCCTCGGTGGGCCAAAAAATTCCAGAAAACTGAGACTTACCTGTGGCGAAGCTCTCGAGTACGACGACTCCTCCGGCACGAGTTGCGATTTGGTGTTTTGCTCCGTTCAACCTGTAGAGAAAAGGACGGTGGTCATAGTGGTATAAAAATTACATCGAACGGGAACCGGGAAGGGCCTCATCGGAGGCAAAAATTGAGAAAACCCGCGGTGGCACCGCTGGACTTCAGCGGTATTTTTCGGCCAATCGGCTGGTGGTTTGGCTTTGATTTGGCCACAGGGAGGTTCAGCATCGAAAAATGAGCCAAGAAGAGAAATTTTACCTCGTTTGGCAGCCAAAAAATCCTCCGGTGTGGCGGCGGGTGGCGGCGGCCGATTCCTCCGGTGACTGGGCCGTCTTCTCCGGCGAGGGTTCTGGCGGTTAGAGTTTGGGGTTGGGTGTGGATGCGATTATTTATAACCTTCTCCTTTTAATATGAGCCGTCCATCATGATTTAATCTGGGCCGTCCGATCGCGATTAAATTAGAAATAAATCTGAGTCGTCCATCGTGATGCGATCTGGGCCATCCGTGCGTGATCAAATCTGGGCCGTCCACATGCGTGAGATCTGGGTCGTCCATGCGCGCTTTTGATCTGGGCCGTCCGTGCGCGCGGGAACGGATCTAGGCCGTCCGATCGCGCGCACGCGGATCGCCCATGTGTCTCCGTCCTGCGTCAGTGTCCCTGCCACGCGGCGTGTCCTGGTTGGCCGGGGCTGTTGACCGGCTGCTGACGTGGCGATATTTTTCTAAATTGCGTTTTGACCTACGGTTTTCGATTTTCTTTTCAAAAACACCCACATAATCTAAATTTTCACTATTTTTTTCTAAAATCGATTTCAATTAAATCCTAAAAATATTTTACCCAATTTTATTATTATTATTATTATTATTTCTATTAAATTAAATTAAATTAAATTAAAATCTTATAAATTAATTATTAAAATAAAATAAAATAAACAAAATTCCAAATAAAATAATAAAAGAATTTTTTTTTTGGGTGTTACAATTTTCATTTTTAAAATTAAATAATAATAATTTAAAACTAATGTTAATTAAAAATAATTAAAATAAAATAAATATTTTGAAAAAATTTAAATTACTACAAAATTTCAAATAATTATAAGAATAATTTTGTTATCTGCAATTTTTTTTTTATTATTTATTACCAATCTTGTAAAATAATTAATTATATATAATATCAAATTTTATATTATAAGCATTTTTTTACAGTAAACTGACGTCAATTAAAACTACTTTCATTTAAAATTATTTTTAAAGCATCTTTTAAATTTTTTTAACAAAAATTATTTAGAATATTTTCAAATTTGATTTTATCGAAAATTATTTTTAAAATATTTTTAATAAAAATATTTTAAAATAATTTTCATTAAAAATAATTTTATAATAAAAGTAGTATAATAACAAATATCGTATAAAATTTACTATAAAAAATATTATTAAATATTATTAATATATAAAATTTAATATCATATTTCGTTAGTTATAATATGAAATAAATAGTAAATTTTTAAAAAGTTAAATCATAAATTAGCATTTACATAATATTCTAAATATTTTAAATTATTTTAATATAGTTATTTTATTTGTCTATCCAATATAAATATTAATTGTAAATTACTGTTATTTTTTAAATTATTCATAATAATATAAAATATTACAATAAATTAATATTATAATTTTATTGTAATGCCCCGATCTTAATTTTAGAGGCGGTACGACGACCCTGGCTGCATATCTAGTATGACATTTTATTTCATAACCAAATTCTCTCAACACTATGTAATCCGGTACATAATAAATATTTAAATTTAATCATTCAATGTCTAAAGTTTCTCCATCATACATATATTAATACTGTAGATTACAATTACACTGTTTTTATTTTAAAATAGTCTACTTTCCACTAACTATACAAGTATTTCGGTGCACTATCCACGCTTCCCATCCAGTCTCCTCTGCACGCTAAGCTCAGAAGAGTGCAACTCTGGTCCAGTTTCCTGTACTACATTATCTGTAAATGTTAAGTAATGAGTATACACAAATTCAAATCATAAACATAACATGAAAACCCAATTAAATGCCTACATTAGTGTCCCACTTCCTATATTCTTACTTCTATTAGCCTCTTCGTCTCCCCTTACCCACAATCTTCCCCTCTTTCTCGCTTACCCACAATCTTCCCCTCTTTCTCGCTTACCACCACTATAATTACAACTCTCCTCAAAAAAAGACCGTCAACTCTTACCGACTCTTACCACGTGAGGTCACCTCTATAGACCATACAACAGTACCCAAAGCACCTGTCAACTTGATCATAAATCGGCCACACACCCACACTATTACTCTCCAGATAAACCCCTCAGCCATCGCCAATATCGGTAACCCAATTCACCTCCATTTCTGCCACTACTTGACCCTTAATCGGCCACCCACTCACACTGTTATCCATTCAGGTAATCCCCATCCATCACCAATATCAGCGACCTAACTTATTCCCATTTCCGCCCACATTCGACCATAAACCGACCACACACCCACGCCGTTACCCTCCCGATAACCCCCAGTCATCACCAATATCGACGATCCAACTTACTATGGCCAGTAATCCACCCCAAGCTTGCCACAGACTCGTACTGTTACCCTCCAGGTGAGCCTCAGTCATCACCAATATCGGCAGTTCTCCCATGTTCCATTACCAACAACTATCAACAGCCAATATCGACATTCCCACTCTAGGAAAATACCATGACTACATTTATACAATTTTCACAATCACAATCAATCATCATATAAGCATGCATATTCGACAACAAACATGCAGAATATTTCATATAGGCATACATACTCAATCAGCACGCAGAGTAATTCATCACCTACATACGCGTGCAAACGGAGTACATACAGTTTTCACATTTTTATTATTCCTGTCATGTATCATACACAAACACACACACACATCGTTATTGCCACTCTCTCCCCTCCTTTCATACTGTATGGACGTCCATCCCAACTTCCTGTTTTCCTCTTACCCTCCCATGTATCTCTCTCTCTCTCATCCCTCCTAACCGTCACTCTCAAGACACTAAAACCACCACAGTCTCCGTTCCATACTCCCTCCCCAACCTAAACTTCAAAATCTCGAGTTTTCTCTCTCTTTAATGACTGTCAAACACTCCTTGTCTAATCTCTTCATTTTCGAATTGATTTTTCCCTCTGGTGATATTCCAGTACCTATACATATACCGATCTATATCTATATACACGGTCTCATTTCTGCATCATCCCTCCCGTTCGAGTTCCTCACCATTTCACCTACTCCTCTCGATTTCCTTCCTCACCGACACTCCTCTGATTTCACAGCTCCCTATCCTCTCTGTTAGTCCTCTCTCTCTTCTAGGGTTCATTACACCAAACATCAATCACATTGTAAGATTTAATTACAAAATCCCATTTTCAGTGTTTAAAACTCGAATTTATATTACCTCTTGCCTCTATCGATCTCAACACAGCAACGATTCTCTCAATCACCTTAGCCTTTCGAGAATCGCTTAATCTCTTTTCCTCCTCAGTCAAACTTCCTCCCCTTTTTTTTTCTACTAACATCACCCTCAAAACCCTTGTTGTGTTACAGATGAGAAGAAGGAAAGGGAGGCTGTTCGTGCAAGGCCTGCAGTTTGGACTTGGGCGGGGTCTCCTTTTTATTTATTGGGCCGAAGAAGACATTGGGCTTGATGGGTATTACATTTATTATAGTAGATCAATAAAATAATAAAGCCGAGGTCAATAAACAATTCATTGAAACTATTGATAACCTGCACAAGTTACAACTAGAAAGCAACTATTTCCAAGTTTCCATTTTACAAAATGTCTGGTCAAACTTATACTTCCAATTAAAATAAAAAACAAAGAGTCACTCAGTAACTCACAACTGCTTCTGAGATGACATGCCACCCTTCATTCAGGACACTGTCCCATTCTCCCCCATACAACCAAACTTCAATAATTATCTTAAACCTACCCTACATTGACTAATATCAACATGTCTCTATATCTACAAATCAACAAAACTGCATCAAGGGATCGGTACAGCCCACGTGATCCTCAAATGATCTCAAGCTATGGGCTAAAAGACTGTGTGACCCCACCAAAAGAAAAATCAAGAAAAAAGAGCAAAGAAAAGTGCACCAGAAGACAACAGCTAATCGCATCTCACGAGCTGTTAACTCTAATTCAGAAGTTATTTATATTCACCCAACAAAAAAGATAAGCCAGAAATTTCAATCAACCTAAACATTCAAATGGGAAAAAGTTTCTCAGATCATCCAAAACCACCTAAAACACATCTTAGTTTGAAGCAGGAAAACCTTCTCTTTTACTCTAATTCAGAAAATTAAATATGCTGTGATATCTAATGTTACAACAACAGAACTCTCAAGAGATGAACTCACCAATATAAATTTGTCAAATATTGAATATAAGAATGACACCGGAATAAACCTCCCATTTCTCCTCATCAGTGGGAAATCATTACAGACTATGGTACTGAAACAATTCGCTATTTCTAATTAAAAAGTAAAGAAATCCATATCCACATATTTCAGTATCATCTCAACCAAAAAAAAGATTTATCCACATTTCCTGCATCAAATACTTGCAGCAGAACCTCAGTAGCTATAATTTTCTCTGCATTGTTTGAGGCAGCACCAGAGCTGGCCTTTCTCCTATTCAGAATTCAGTCATCCTCCTGAACCACCTCTTCCTTTCACAAGAGCTTCCATGCTACAAGGAAATATTGCCAGAAAACAAGGAGCTTAATCAGTCATCCTTCATAAAAAAAAGGTGTCAACAAAACAAGGAAATCTACATGCACAGCACCCAAACACCAACTTTAGCATACAGGAGATGCAAAACTTCCTACCAAGTTCATGCCATGCCATGAAAATTAATGAAACTAATGTTATTACGTCTGGAGAAGCCTACTAAAAGTGAAAAGCATATAAAAGCTGGATATAAAACACTTGTGAAGCACGATAGACTGACAACAGCAACCCTGGACTTTCTTGGATCTCTTACGAAGAGAATTAATGCTTTAAGCTTACCCAGCTCAAGCACAGCTTAAGTCAATTTCAGCTCCAAGAAGTGTGCAAATTAATGTCACATGCCACTTAACGACCCACATGGTTAATCTCAATTGAAACCTACCAAAATAATAATCTGGCAGTTTTTAAGAACATAGTAAATGCAAAGATCAACGTGTAACGTGCAAACATGTTTTTTTGAAATAAAAGCGTAACGTACAAACATAAATGATACAAGCTAAGCTAAACGGGGATCCAACCATCCCGTCCCAATAAAAAGTAACAACAAAACATCCTCTTACAGCTGCCTGCTGTTTGTTGGTGCAAAAGGTGGGGAAAGCCCTTCCCTGAATATTTTCAAGATTAGTAGGGATGCTTTCATTCTCGACAAATCTTATGGACAATATACCATCAGTTTTGGCATTCAAAGTCAGTAGTTTCTCAACCAATCAACCTCTGGCACAATCAGAAAGACATAAATGAGCAAATTAATTGATTTGAAGATTAATCACCGCCAAAAGAAAATCTTAAGCCCGAAACTAAGAAGAAACATGACGAGACTACCGTTTCAAGACAAGCAGAATTACAATCTACCCAAAACGACTCTTCCCAGAAAAAGAAAACAAAAGAGCATGCAATCAATAACAACATACAACATAAGCCCGCAGAAAAACAGAGCATCTTTTTTTCCAAAGCTAATTAAAGAGATTAAAGCAAGAATCCCTTACCCGGAATTTCTTTTCGTGGCAAAGATGGTGGCGCCGTGACATAACAAAGAATGGACCGACCCACCATTGAAACAGCCGATATAATCCCCACGACATAGAAGACCATGATAAGACCAAGAACCCATGGCATCAACATGAAACCTATGAAGAAAGTTACCGATCCGCACAGCATAAGAGCCAGCGATACCCCAAGTAGCAGCGAGGCAAACCCCGCCGGCGAGATCTGTGAAAACGACGAGGACATCGATGGTGGTCTCCTCCCCTGCGGCGGAACAGCCGGAGGATGATCCGTTAACGAAATCGAAGACGGAGGCGATCTGAGGAGATTAAGGACAAGAGCCGACAGCTCATAGAAAACCCTAGATTGATGATCTTGTTGCTGCTGCTGCTGGTGCTGTTGTCGTCTCATCATTCTCTTGTCTGGCAGAAAATGAGCAAGCGAAAATATCCAAACCTAATCCGAGAAAATTTGAGGAAATTATACAGGGTTTATTTATATCTGTTTTCGGTTAAAGATTGAATTGCTAAAACCAAGGCAAATGGATAAACTCGGGGACTTTTATCTAAAGCCGCCGTTTGATTGGAGAGAATCTAACCGCAAGGTTACAAGTGGAGAGTTATAATAGAAAAAGCCTTGTTTGTTTCTCTCTCGGGAATTCTTCGACAGATTCCAGAAAGAGAGAGAGATAAAGTGAGGAAACAGAGCTACTGCTCCTTCTGATACGATGAAAAGGATTAGTACAATCTGCAGCTTCTTTTATCTTCTTTTCTCTGGTTTTCTTTCTTTTGTTTGGAATGCGAGAAAATTTTAAGAGAGAAAATTAATGAGGTCCCTTTGAAGCAACCGCGGGAGAATATTAAAAGGCAAAAGAAGAGAGTTTTAGGGATGAGGTAGGCCCCACACCAAGTAATCAGTGCGCGTGTGTGACACGCCCTTTGGATTAGGGAAGACGTGATGATGCGCGTGAGCTGTGTGCTGACGTGGGCCTTATCTTCAGCGCCTGCGGATATAATGAAACTCGATCTCTTAAAAAAATTAAAAATTAATTATTTGTTTAGTCTTTTTTCTTTTATATTTTAAAAAATTAAATCCTGTTTCTAATTTATATTTTTTTAATTGTATTTTTATTTAATTATTTTTAATTATGAACAATATAACAAAATCAACCAAAGACGTGAAGGAATTTTGTTTGGAAACAAAAAAACAAAAAAAAAAAAAACAGAAGAAAAATAAATGGTTGAATTTAATTGTGAGAGTTAAGAAAGTTACTTTGCAGGCAAAACAAGAAAACAAAACGTGAGAGTACACAGCAAGTTTCAGAGATTTAGGTTTTCATTATATATATATATATTTCATGTTTTTATTTAATTAAAATTTTATAATATTTTAAATAAAAAATGGGTTTTAACATCCAAAACATCAAGAGGTAATAAACTGATAGAAATTAGAATTTGGAATAAAGGGTGTCAAAATACAAATTATAATTATATTTATATATTTTTATTTCATTTATATTATTTATATTTTAGTTTTTTAAATAAATTATAATTATATACCATACTGCTTTCAAGCAATTAAGCCATATAAATTTTTACCCTATTTATTTTTTATTTTAATATTTATTTTGTCTAAAACTAAAATAACATCATTTTTATATTTACAAACCTATAATCTTTTTTAACAAAAAATTAAAAACTAAATATACGAAGTATCAAATATTTCATGTATCATCATACAAGGTTATGAGAATAATTGCTTATGATGGCATAATACAATGAACATCAAGATGTTGCATGGATTAGTGCAAGAGGATCCTCTTTTTCTAAAAAGAAAATTCTCTACTTGTAGAGCTTTAAGATAGATGAAAACTGCTTAAATAACCTTCAATAATTTAAGATATTACTTTTTCTTTATGACATTATTATTATATATTTATTTTGGTCCAAACACATAATTCACAATTCTACGATTTTGTTTTTGTAAAAGCCCAAATCCCTACTAGGGATTCTAAGCTTATAACTCAGTAATAATCAAATAAATGATACTGAAGTCTATAATTTAGTGGAAGATTAAGATTACATTTTTGTATAATTTACTTAAAATATTCAATAACACTACGAGAATATCTATGAAACTTAAATGAGAAAAATATAAGAAAAAATAAATATGATTAACTTCTACTCGAAACTGACGAAATGGAAGAAGCAATCTCTTAACTAGTTTCTTACTGTTTAGGATCCGAATCTTGGTCGTCTTGATCTAAAATGATTAATAATAAAGAGGTGAGTTATACTACGTCAATAAGAATATCAACGCTTTACTACTAATACGAAAAATCAATGAGTTGTAGAAAATATAAAACAACCAAAAGATCCCATTATTTAGCCTTAAAAGACACGTACATTTGTATCACAAACAACATATGAGTACGAAATTTATATTTCAGAGTACGTGAGTGAAATAAACATGCATTATGCTGATATAAACGTATCATGCACACAATAGAATGATAGGACAACATAGATTAAGAAACTTTATCACGTTAGCCATAGACTTAAAACGCATAAACTTAAATAAATAGAACAATGAATAGATAAATATAATAAATGACTAAGAAATAATTACTATAATTAAAACTCAAAACAAGCATAAATTGACCGGTTACTAGCTCCATTGGCAACCTATACTTAATAAATTAAAAGATTGCCAATTAACTAAAATTTCTATTTATTATCGGTTTAACTTCAATTTAACCGTAAACAAGGAAAAGGAGCAAGGGATTCTTACCCTGGGTCAGTGTATAAAATATCGTCTTTTTTACTACGGTTCCTTATTCTTGAATTTCTAGAGTTTTCCTACTAAGATCGAAATGTACGTCAAAATAGTATGAAAATACGTGAGAAATGGCCGAAAAAAGACAAAAATCTCATCAGGGGTCGGGTTGGAGTTCTGGCGTGGCGCCGCTACCTGGTCCTCTTTCTCCAATAGCACCTCCTATCGGTCAAGTAGTTTTTGACCATTTCTTGGTGAAAGTCTGTTTAAATCATGGTTATGAGGTGTTTATCTGTAAAAAAGAGAGGAAAATTCGAAGTTTATCGACAGTTTCGGCCTTTTGATGTGATGGCTTAGCCGAGCTCCACGTTCTTCCTCAGGGGTCGTGGTCATTTTTTTGTTATTCTGCATCAAAAATGTGTTAGGCAGCTAAATGGGAGAGAAATGGGAAGAATGGGCAGAAAAACCACACTCACTAGTGCGTTTTAGGTCTCTAGTGCAGCAGCGCCGGTGGCTGGACTTCTCTTTCGGCCGCCCTTCTTCTTATTCTTCTTCTTCGGTGAGGTGGGTTCGGCCATGGGTAGGGCTTCAGTTGGAAAATATGCTTAAAGACCTACCCTCCCTCAATCTGGGCCGTCCATCCAGGCCCGCATGGATCCTCCTCAGCCATCTGATCGCGTTTATTAGGAAAACAGATTTGGGCTGTTCGATTGAACACACATGGGTCATCCGATCATGGTTATCTTGAAAGTCAATCTGGACTGTTCATGCACGCGAGAGTGAACACGGACTGTTAGATTGCCCTGGCACTCGAATCACCCGCATAGAGCCCATGCTAGCGTGTCCACCACACGACGTGCTCTGACTCGCCATGCTGCTGACGTGGTTAACCTACGTGACCCGCATTTCTCCTTTTTGCAATTTGACCATTGTTTTCAAAAAAATTTTCAAATACACCCCTTTTTTATTTACATTGCGTCCTACTTTCTAAAATTGTTTTCAAATTTGTCTAAAATCCATATATCTAAAAATAATAATTAAACTCTACCATTTTTACTATCGTTTTAGAGATTTAATTACATTATTTCGAGTCTAAATCTTGGGTTCGAGATGTTACAATTTTGTTCAAATTAATCCCTGTAATGTTTTTGTGTTCGAATTAATCATATATTTTTAGAGCTACTCGATGAGAATGATTACTCAAAAATAGCCTTGGACCCACTTAAGAAGCCAATAGTATGAGAGGTTCTTTTTCTTTCTTTTGCTTTTGTTTTCTAAAATGTACTAATGTTTTTGCTAACTTTGAATATTGTAACTTATTGTGATTTTTTATATTTTTTTAGGAATATGAATATTGTTCATGCAATTAAGATTATAGCAATAAAAAAAAGAGGGAAAAAAAAGGAATAAAATAAATGGAATAATAATAATAAATAAATAAAAAGAAAAAAAAAAGGAAAAGAAACCCTAAGAGGGGAGAGAGGGGAGGAGAAGAAGAAGAAGGGAAGCACTGCGAGCAACTGATCCTTGTGAGGCAGAGAAACGGTGGCCGCAGAAAAAGGCTTGTGTGCGATCGTCGCGTGATGTGATGGGAAGAAAGAGTCACGTCGCAACAAGAGAGAAGAAGGGAGGTGCGGCTAACAGAGGGTAGATTTGCTCTTGGCATGCAATGCGACGGTGGAGAAGGAAACTTGAAGGTGTGTGTGCGGCGAGGAAGGAGCTGCTGGACCGCGGGGAGGCCAAACCTGACGAATTGGCAAGATTCATTTTGAACTGGCATGTCGCGACTTTCTAGGTGATTTTTGCACATTTGCAGCAGCGAGTGCTGACTCCGGCAAAGGCTCGTGCGGTGGCACTTAGGATTCCAATACTTTTTCTAACTAAACTCCAGGTAAGGATATCTCATCCCTCTTTGTAATTGCTTAATCAAAGTTTGACCTTTAGGTCGCCTGAAATTGATTGTGACTGTGAATTTAACTTATATGAGATGTCGATGGTGATGATTCAACTGATTTTATGCAAGTGTTGGTATATAATTGATTGTGTAACTATATTTAGTTATTTGGAATTTTGTATTGCATGGTGGGTGGACATACTTTGCAAGCCGACACGTGGGAAAGACCATTCATGATTGTTTGTGTGAGTGGGGTGCGTGTGTCAGTTTATATACCCGTATTGTGGTAAGTGTGCATTCTGATATATATGTCTATTGAGAATGTGCGCATCAGTATAGGTGTGTATAAATAAAGGGTGCATGCGATGTCATATAAATATATATAGATAATTTGTATATATATGTAAAATACATAAGCCAAGTACCTGTTAAATAAATTATATTTGATTGTTTATATCTAGATATAAATAATAAACTGTGTGTGTTTGACATATATATACGCATGAGACTGTCTGTTTAATATGTGGTGTGTGTGCTTGATATGTATGTATACGCGTAATTGGGTGTGAATTTTCATTTTAAAATATATCTATCATGTTTGAGTTCTAAAGTTAGAACATGAAACATAAATAATCTTTGAAGAGAAAAAAGTTTACCGGGTATCATGGGAGAGAGTATACAGACTTGGTACATATGGTGAATCCTAACGTGAATGTGTCATCAGTCGTACGGGGTTAGGAAGTCCCATATCGGACAGGGTTGGAAATTGATTAAATAATACTCATACCGGACGAGGTATGAGGACGACTGATGATTGCAAAGGAAATGTTTGTATCACGTGTAGTAGGAATCTATATGGGCCCCTAGTGATACTGATAATGGAAATGACAAGTAATGGAAATAGAAATAGAAATGGAAATGGAAATGGTAAATAACCCTGCTCAGGTGAAATGATAAGGAACTCAAAGTTTCACATTTGTTGAGATATGTATTGATTATGCTTCTCATTATGATTCTAATGATATCTTAATGTTATATATGGATGATTGCGTGAACTGAAAGTATTATTATTTTTTAAATGGAAGCTACCTGATTACATGTCTGATATAGTTGACGATATTTGTGAATGTAAATGAGGTTAGTTGAATATAAATTTGATGTGATATGATAGT